GAAAGCGCTTTTGGGATGATGATTTAAGGTAAGGCTTTATTTTGTTTTCATAAAGCCTAGTCCTTATAGAAACTTCATTCTTCTTTCAATTAAACAGAAAGAGAGTTTTGCAAAGAGAATTGATTTTAGAGGGAGCATTTATGGGACTCAAGGGAAAAGTGAGAGAAAAAGGTGCACCGGAAGAGGCTGGGGTTGTGGTAGTAGCACCCCAAACCCTAATCACCATGTTGTAGTTTCCATTCCCATCACTAACACCACCCCAGTAATGCCTTCAAAAAGTTAGTCTTTCCCATTGAATTACCCCCCAAAAAAACAAAAATGGTGCACTTCAAAAATCCATTCGAAAAGGTTATTCCAACATTAAAAACTCCTATATTAGAACATCTCGACCTCAAATACATGGATATGAAAAAAGAATAAGGGATATCAAATCTGGACAGTAGTGTATATTGTAAGTCCATTCGAAAAGGTTATTCCAACATTAAAAACCCTTGCATTAGAACATCTCAACCTCACAATGCATGGATATGAAAAAAGAAAAAAGGATTTCCAATCTGAAAAGTAGTGCGTAGTGTAAGACATCATCTAGGCTATCCACTTTTTAATTTTTAATTGTTAAAAGTTCTACTCGATCTACACATTTTTTAAAGGTTTAAATTTTATAAAGAAAATGACCTTGTGAAATCCTCCCACACCCATGTATGTAGGATCCCAAAAGATCACCATTAAATTTGGTACAGATATTTAGAAAAGTTAAATCCTATACCCATGTGATAACTTTTTTAGAGATCCGTAACAAATTTAATGGTAATCATTTGAGATCCTACATACATAAGTGTGGGAGGGTCTCTTATGATCATTACTCATTTTATAATTAAGGATAAAAATATATATAATATTTATGCCATCTTAAGAGTTTTTGATGCCAAAACTGCATCTTTTAGTAACATGTGCATGTGGTTGTTTACTGTTGATAACTTATACAAACCGCACCCTTTAAATAAGAGGCTATTGGAACTTATCCCTTTGGAGTCGTAAACGTAATAAATAAGATTTCCATCCCCATACAGGATAAGATACAGGGAAATGTTCTCTTGCAACTGCAATTGTAAACCGCAGCTCAAGAACCCTTGCTTTTTAATGGATTGAAGACTCAAAACCTCTTCAAGTCCTATTGACCTCCAAGATGAATGTCCTAAAAGAATTAAGGAATTGTATACTATCAAACCCTCTTTGTTAGAAGGAGGTCACAATTATTTCTGGCCATTACATGTCAAATTGGATGTCTTGAGATGTATCACAAAGTTTTAGAAATTTTATTTTTTTGGACATTGAATATAGTCAATGTCATTCTTACAACTATCCGATTTAAAATCTTATCGAAAAGTGTAATTTGTGAGCTCTTTGTATAAAAAGTAAATGGTCTTTTTGCATATTTTTTCAAGAATTAATTTCAAAGGGAAACATATTCGACGCCCTAGTCCAAAAAATGCTATTAGTCAGAATTTGATTTGGACCGTCCATTTTGCGATCTTGAATAGACAATCCATTTCAATGTCTCATGGATCTTGAGGTGCAAGTATAGTTTTTTATGCTACAATTGCCATTGTAGCATAAAGTACTTTTTTATTCCAATAAAAGTATATAAGATGATTATTCTCTCAAAAAAAAAAAAAGTATATAAGATGATTGTTTCATAATTTCTAAATTTTTTAATCATGAACTTTAATTTTTTTAAAAAATCAATTAAGTTAAAAGTAAGGATTTGTGAGATGATCGCTCTTTATAGTTTATATAGTTTTTTTTTTAAAAATTAGTAGGAGCATACATGTACAGAGATTGAATGGAAAATGGAGAGAGAGGAAGAGAGAACACAATATTTACATGGTTCAAGCAAAAGCCTTACGTCTACGGATCCAAAGCCCAACGGCCACATCTTCTCTAATTTGGATGAAAGTTTACATCAATAAATAATTCTATATATAGAAGACAATCACACAATTACAAGATATAAATATGATATGATTCTTGGAGATATAGGTAAATAGTATGAGGCTTTATCATCAAACTAACTTGATGACTAAGTAACTTTGACTTCATCTATTCTATGTAAGGTAAATAGTAGGGTCCCTTTCTGTGCAAGGGATGACTCTCTCTCTCTAAACTTGGTCTTATATCTCTCTTACAAGAAAGCCTGATTCTTCCTTGATGAAACTTGGCGTGTCTATCTCTCTACTTAATTGAAGATGCACGAGTCTTATGCAGAGGAATGGGGTGTTGACCTTGTGAAAGAGAGCACTCTAAGCTCTGCAACAACCAAATACATGGATTTATTTTTATTTTATTTTTATGTTTTATTTTTTGTAGATACAACAACCATGTAGATTATTTCCCTTGAAAAACTCGATAGTTTTGTTCCTCCCATAACATTCAGATTGTGGTGAAGAAAAAAGAATGCCAAACATTAAGTAGGCCATTTGATTTGAATCTAAATGCAATCCAGTTTCTGAGCATGGATGCAATAGATGTAATTGAGATATATCTTTTGCCACATCTCCATGTTACCGATCTCCAAATACACTGCGATAAAACACAACTAAAAAGAAGGTGGAAAATATTATCGTCATCAAATTTACAAAACAAGCACACAGAATTTGTAGAAATCTCTCTTTGCTGCAAAAGAGGGAAGGTAGGGAGTCGATAGCGAATAGCCAACCAAGAAAACTATTTGGCCTTGGGTGTCACTTGAATGACCAAAAAGCTTTAAAGATAGGCTGAGTGGAACCATGTGACGAATAAAGTTCCATGCCTCCTTAATAAAAAAAGTCTATAACAAGAATGAACCCACATTAGGAAATCATATTGTGGTTGTAATAGAGTTACAAATGCTTCTACCTCCTTCCACAACCTAATTAGTGGACCAGAAGTAGGAGAAGGAGGAGTCAATGTCTGAAGGGAACCCTGCAAAAAATTGGCTACCTTGGGTTTAGCAAAGATCTCAAGATCTTTATGAACTTGTGCACCATAAAATTCCCAAATAGTTCTTTGTGATAATTAAGGACCTGCCAAAAAATCCTCTGTCAGCCATCTCCAATAAACCACTTGACATTATGTGAAGTCCTAATAAATAAGGTTTTCATGCATAAACAAGACTAAGATAATATTCTATTTTTTTAAAATGTTCCAATAAGGAAGGGGAATTTTCAATGTGAAATATAACTATTTGACAAGCAACATGCAAAGATTGATTTGTTTTCAAATAAATCTAATTAACATGAAATTTAGTTAATATTTCAAATTTGTGATTACAAATTTGATTGTTAAATTTTTTTATACTTGTAATTTAAGGAATTTGAAAAATGGTTTCCTTAAGTAAGAGTTTCCTAATAAATAAGGCTTCTTTTTATGCATAGGATGGAATAAATTTCAAAGAGAAAATAGACCTTTTTTTTTCTAGTTATGAATTTTTATTGTTTAAATACTAATTTCCCCTAGAGCCTATAGGGTGGGTTCGGGCATTGTCTGCCCTTGACAGGGCCGATGAGGCCCTGGCCATGTTAAGGTTGGGCTGGGTTGGGTTGGGCTGCGTCAATTACAATCCAAGAAAAAAAGGCTAAAATAATATGAAAAAAGGGCTGGGTCGGCCCTATCGTGTCCTTGGCCCAGTCTCCTAGCCATTGGGCCATATCTTGTGATCCAAGCCTTTGTTTTCTCCGGCTATACTGATGGGCCGAGCCAATCTGCCTAGCCCATTGCCTGCCCTAATGTAATTCATATATCAGATGACAACGAATTTGTATTTTTTTTTTTAAAGACAATAACAAAAATCTTTAGTTTTCTTTGCTAACCACTTCTTAACTTATATGTAAATCTTAAACTTCAACTTGAAATACAACAACCATACCAACTTCTCTCGCACTCTTCTCATACATTCTTTCAATTACGAAAAGTGCAGGACAATTAATTGTATAAATCTTAGCCAACAAGTAAGAGATATTATGATACTAATTTTCTAATGGGCTGGCATTGCGTCCACAGCATGTGAAAGCTTAAAAGGTGCACATGAACTTTTTAATGGTTTAGATTGAACCATGCTAATCCAAGGGTCAATAATGAATCTCCTTTTTTATTTTAAATTTTTTATTTAAAAATGATGTTAATATGAAAATTTGGTTTTAGGTTCATTTTTATAAGTAAGATTGCATAAAATGAATGAAATATATCTTAAAAATTATTGACCAAAATAAATTTAAAATATTTTAGTAAATTTTTATTTACACACCAAAATTCAGATAAGCATCTTATTTAAATAAAAATAAAAATAAAATACGAGAATAATTTTTGGCCATATGCAATTTCAACCATTGGAAGGTAGTTGTGCACATTTCCACCCGTCCAAAGGGATATTTTTCCATGTTTAATTGATCTAGGGGACATATTAAATCAAATATTATGTCAATAAATCAACCTGAAACCAAATACCCCAACTTTTTCAATAATTTCAAGATTATCCTATCCGGCTATTACAGCTAGCGCCAGCCTAGGCCCTCCAACGTGTGCGAGAATCAACAATGACTTAGACAGATAACATGTGTATCCAATGTAAAGAGTATAATTTAGCACTAATTTGGCACTAATGCTCCATTATTTTTCAATGAGTTGTTAAATAAGGATTTGGCCTTTATCCCTTCTATTCTGTTAGGACCACTCACCCTCATTTCTTTTTGGCCAAAAAAAATGCACAACACTGTTTGAACACATGTCACACGTTGAAATGGGAATATATTGTAAGGTAATAAAGCAAAAAGGCATAGGCCACTTGCATGTAGCAAAAGTTAAGATGCTTCAACCCAACCGGACCGGACCTGCACCAAGGCCACTTGCATGTAGCAAAAGCTAAGATGCTTCAACCGGACCGGACCGGACCTAGGCCTCTTTCCATGCATTCCTGGAACACTTAACATATGTGTTTCCATAGAGACTGAAAAATCTCTCTGGCCTTGGTAAAAAAAAGTTCAGAGAAACGAAAAGCAAAGAGAAACACCAGCTGCACAAAAGTGTTTGCATCGATCTTAAAAGAAGAAAAGCGATAACATTTTGTTAGTAATTTGGTGTCCAGCAATACTCTTCGATGACTCAGAGTGCTTATCGTGTTTTATCTTATCTTCCTTTTTCCTATTGCTTTTGTGCCGCAATTTTTCGTCCGGATCCATTGTTTCTCTTGGTCTATAAAGCCGGCACTCGGCGGTCTTCTGGCGAGTCAGGATCCATTGTTTCTTCTCGTTTCTTTTTCGTCTATAAATCGGGAGTTGGGCAGCCATCCATTGAGCATTGCAAGTAAGTTGTTTTGGTTCGGATAGTCTCGGATTCTCGCTCTACTGGGTCAAGAGTACCATTGCTAGGTTTCTAACCATGGCCAACAACTCTGGTCCACACTTCGATGGTAGATATTCGGTGAGTGTCGATGGGGTTTTCCATGGAATTCTCTGTGCAAGTTTTCATAGTCATAATCTTAGAGGTTTTAATGTATTGGTGGAAAAATATTTCCGTAAAAATAAGAACTCCCCCATGTGATTAGATATGAGAATATTTTCATACTAATTCATCCTGGTGCATTTTTTCATGTCAACTGCAGCCAATTACTGTGAAAAAACTCTCAGGCTCGACTTTTAAATTTTATTTATTTTTTCTTTTCTTTCTTGAGTCTATTAGGGCCAGGTCTAATAGACCCCTTCGGCCCGATCCAGGCCAGGCCAGCTCCATTAATACCCGAGCTGGGCTTGGGTCAAGGCTGGCCTGGCCCTTGCCAGCCCTAGAGAGAGGGACGGGGGCATAGCTTTATTGGCCTTCAACTTGCATTCTCACCATCTTGTTACAGAAAGATCCTGCTATTCAATTTGAAGGAGATACATGGCATATACCAGCAAAACGTCTGCACATTATTTGGGGAGCCGACGGTCGATTTTGGCGTTTCATCCAAGAGGAACCTAAAGATCTCAAGTAAGTATAATTTTTTATCATCTTATTCCTTTCTTTGTTTTGAAGGGTCTCCATGATGAGATAGCAATATGTCAGAGGTTAGCCTTAGGGAAAAAAAATCACAAAAAAAAAGTGATTTTCTTTTTGTAATTTTTATTGTCTCTATTATGTTTTAGGAATAGGGCCTGGGCTTAAGTGGTTAGCGGTTGACGTAAAATGTTACATCCCAAGTTCTATTCTTACCACTGAACTACCCAAAAAAAAAAAATGTCTCTATTATGTTTGAAGCTACTTTTATGTATATGACATTGTGGATCATAGAGTTAGGGGTGTAAAAAAGGTTGGCCCAGGTTAGGCTAAGTAGACCATCTGTCTCATTAAGCTCATTTTTCAACTAATTGGACTCGACTACATGAATCCTTGTCATGTCATTCTGCTCTATTAAAGATCCTACCTTCAGTGAGGCCATAATTCTTGCATCTTTTCTCGTTACTTGCAAGCATGTCTGCCTGTCTCCTAATGCTAAAGGACCTTAAACTCATGTCTGGCCACCAGATCGGTCCCACTCATTAGCACATTGTTGATTGAAAAGTTGCATAAAATAGGGACTGCAAGCCTTAATACATACAACCGACCAGTTAAGCTAACAAGCCTTAAATTTACGCCTAGAACAACTCGATATGCCCTATGAGGGGGCCCGAACCTGGCCATCTAAGGTGGGCCTTTTGAGGCCCCCCCAATTCTACAGTCATGCATACAACATGTTCGGTAGTAGCATCTTAACAATCTGCATCCAAAATAGAGAGCTATAGATCCTGGTGACTGGCTAGCAACTAATACTTGTTCACAAAGTGCATTGTGGGACTATGACATGAGTCCTTGCATTTTCCATGCTACACAGGTCTGATCATGCTGCTGAGTTACTGCAAGTAGGTTGGCTTGAAATTAACGGAACATTCGACATGAGCAAGCTCAAAGTCGGGGAAGAGTACGAGATCGTGTATGTCATGAAGTTCAAGGTTGACGCATTTGGGTGGAATCGTTCTCCCGTGAAGTTTTCAGTGTCTGTGTGCAACCAAGAGAGGAAGGAAAAGGCTGTGCTCATGGAGGAGTACAAGGAGAGTAGCACAAAGAGGCCGCAGGAATGGTTTAAGATTGTAGGTGGTGACTTCAAAGTACCTGAGAACAACAATGGAGAAATAGAATTCTCAATGTATGATGTGGGGAGTGAATGGTGGAAGGGGAGTCTCGTTCTTGGAGGGGTTAAACTGAGGCCCAAGCCGAAACAACACTGACTTATTCCCTCTATTATTAGTCTCTTGTGGAGAAGATGGCTTGAGTTGTTTGTGCGGGAATTGCTCATTAGTTTCATTTGTACGTTCTTTGATTGTGAGATGGGTGTTCAGTTAACTACAAATATTAAGTAGAATACTTAGATCACTGGGATTTTCTTGTATTGCTTGTGTGTCACAGTTCTTAGTTGAATTCATTTATGGCAAGAGATATCTGAGGTATTGGTTCTAAATTTTACCTGCTCTCTCACTTTCTCTCTCTCTCTGGTTGGGCTACAGTCCTATCAAAATAAGTAAAACTTCATATCAAAACTCAACGAAAATAACAGTTAGCTTTCGGAAAATCTTCAAATTGATCAGCTCGGCCTGGACCGATTATGCTTGTGAAAAAATTATGGCTTCAAGCCTTAATATAGTGTGTATTGTAACATATTATCTAAATCGCCATTTCGTCCTAAAAATTAAGTGTTCACTGATCTACAATATCTGTAATAAATTTTGAGCTTCATATTTTAGGTGGTGTTGGAAATTGATTTTAAACCATCATGTAGATTTCTGATGGCCAAAGTGCTTTCTAGATAAGGATTTGAGGTGGGGCTTTAATTTGTTATCACAAACCCCTATGCTAACTCCTATCGGTGAAAATTAACAGTATTTTCACGTATAGGCTCCCCACCGTCTCTTTTTCTTGGACGGTAGGGGCTTAACACCGCCACGAACATATTACATACATTCGGGTACCGCCATAGACGTAGTAAGTCCGTGGTGGTCAATTTTTCATGTTAAACCACAACATACATAATAAGTCCCTCACAAGGAAAAAATATTATTCATTTCCGAATACAAGCATTA